AAGGAAGAGCGTCAAACAAAGAAACACAGCAGTGGAACAGTACCCAGGTTTCAGAATGTTGGGAAAATCTAAAATTTTCAAATTTTTTAATGGAAAAGTGTAAAAAAAAAAATATAAAAAAAAAATAAAATAAAAAAACAAGAGAAAAGTGAAGAGGCGAAGAGGGTACCCACGCGAAATTTTGAAAGCTGGTGTTGGGTGATGCCTTTAGGGTTGAAATTGGGTTGCAGAAGAGGCGTGGATGCGATTGCAGCTTCTCTTTTACGATCCTCTTCTTCCATCCTCTTTCTTTTTCATATTTCTCTCATTCGTGTGTGGCTTCTTTTATATGTTGCCACTTGTAAGTTGGAATACACTATTTTTTTTCTTTGTAAACAAAGTAAATATACTTTGTTATATAAAAAAAGTTTAAATATATATTTTTTTAATTTATCACTTTTTCATTTTTTGTTCTTGAAAAAAAAATTATTGTTTCTTTTCTAATTTTTTATAACATTTTAGAAATAGTTTTTGTCATTAATTTTTGATAAAAAAACCTTATATGAAACGAAAAATATATTATATTGCACGAATGTAAATTAATTTTAATTTTTTTAGACAATGTCTCAAAATACACTTCATTGCGACACTTCATCATACTCTTCATGTGCATCTTCTCTAGACTATGGAATGTTGTGTCCTAGTTGTTATCAATGATAAAGTTAAATCATTGGCCTCCTTTTCTCCGATGACGAGTCCCACACATTGCTATTGTGGTAGTTACGCTAGTTAACAACGATTTTGATGATTTTGAGCCAACCGACATAATTCTTCTTGGCCTTGGAGAGGGAGGCATTGGCAATGGCACCAGTAGAGTGTGGACATTCTCATGGTGCATGAGCACCTACATGATCGAAGAGTGGTCAAATGTGAGGTTGAACTCCTTCATAGGGAGATGGCGGTTGATGACAATCTCATAAAGATGGTGGTTGTTGAGGACGAACTCGACATTGTTGTTGAGATCGTGGATTGTGAGAAATTTCTCCTTATCAATGGTATTGGAGTTTGCATTGAAGGATTTAGGGTTTGAAATATCAGTTTTGGATTGAAGAAGGGAAGTTCGATCACTAGGTGAGGGTTTGGGTGCGATGAAATGCATTTTAAATTTTTTTAAAAAAAATTTAAAATCAATTTACCTACATGACAATAGTAAAGTGGAATATAATGAATATAATATGTATTCTATTTGCGATGTAGGATTTTGTTAGTGGTAGTTGACGGTAAGGACTATTTTTGAAACGTTATAAAAGGTCACAGATGAAACAACAACAAAAATTATAGGGACCAAAAATAGGGACGAAAGTTATATTTAAATCTATAAAAAAAAGTTATATATTAATTATTAATGTTTTTCAATTTAGACTAAATTATTTTTTTCCTGTCTTATCTTTTATATTCATTTTAATTTTTTCAATTGACTTTCAAATCCCAAACAACTATAAACATATTGTTGAGCAACTAGAAACTAATGTGAAAATCATATTTTCTTTGATTTTTTGGTTGGTAGTTAGACTTATTTGTATGCGATTCCCACCATATTTATGACATTTTTTAGTTTGAATTTATGACATTATACATATTTATCGGTGGAGAAAATATAAACACTAGAAGAGGGGTTGAATAGTGTATATAAAAAATTCACACATTTTTTTACAGTGAAGTAGTAACACTAGTTAGATGAAGCAAGAAGAGCAGTCAAATGGAACATCGAGTATTTTTATACTAGTTCGACTCAACTACCAAGATTGCGTCTAGTTCTGAATCCACCAAATTGAGTTCCACTATCTTTAAACAAAGATATAAGTAAGTCACCTTCCTAAAATTCAAGAGGTCATCTTTTCTTATCAACATAAATTTTCTGTCTACTTTGAGTCATTCTTAATTTTTCCTGAATTATTTTGATTTTTTCCGTGGTTTGTTGCACCAATTCAGGACCTAAGATTAAATTTTCTCCAATTTCAAACCAACACAAAAGAGTTATGCACTTTCTTTCATATAGGGCTTCATAGGGTGTCATACCTATGCTAGAATGGAAATTGTTGTTATAAGTGAATTCAATCAAAGGAAAATATTTATCCCAACTACCAGAATCTTCTAACACACAAGCTCTCAATATGTCTTTTAAGGATTGTATGGTCCTTTCTAATTGTCTATCTGTTTGAGAATGATATGCTGAGCTAAGATGGAGCTTAGTTCCCAAAGCTTGATGTAAACTTCCCCAAAATCTAGAAGTAAACCTAGGATCCCTATCAGATATTATACTAGATAGACACCGTGCAACCTTACAATCTCTCTTATGTATAATTCAATCAAATTTTCCAATAAATACCTAATGTTGATGATCAAGAAGTGGGCAGATTTTGTTAGTCTATCCATGATAACCCACATGGAATCAAATTTATGCATTGTTCGTGGTAAACCACTACAAAATCCATTACTATATTGTCCCATTTCCATTCAGGTATATCTAAGGATTGTAGCATTCTTGGTGGCTTTTGGTGTTCTATCTTGGCCTTCTAACAAATCAAACATGTAGCTACATATTGTGCTACTTTTTTTTTTTCATTTTAGGACACTAACATTCTCTTAAGATCCTGATACATTTTTGTTGCACTGGGGTGTATGCTCAACTTGCTTTTATGTGCCTCACCTAAGATTATTTTCTTAATTTCTAAATCATTCGGCACACATACCCTATCATTAAATCTCAAAACTCCCTTTTGATCTATGTTAAACTTTTCACCATCCCTTTGTCCCAACAATATCTTTTTCTTCTAAATGAACTCATCAACTACTTGAGCCTCATAGATTTGTCTATGTAAGTCACTAGTAATCTGAACTGCATGCAATTGTATTATATCCCAGCTTACTATAATTTACAAACTTATATTTCTAAATTTTTCTATCAAGTTCATCTCATGAATAATTGATGAAGAGATATGTAAGGATTTTCTACTCAATGCATCAGTCACAACATTGGCTTTTCCTGGATGATAATGTAATTCAAAATCATAATCTTTCAAAAATTTCATCCACCTTCTTTTTTTCATGTTTAATTCCTTTTGATCAAACAAATATTTTAAACTCTTATGATCGCTAAAAACATCAAACTTACCACCATACACATAATGTCTCCATATCTTGAGTGCAAAAATAATAGCGGCTAGTTCTTGTGCATATAATCTATAAACACTGCAGGAGCATTAACCAAACCAAAAGGCATGACTTGATATTCATAATGATCATACCTTGTTCTAAATTCAATTTTCTATATATGTTATATTTTCACTTTAATGTGATGATATCCTAATCTTAAATCTATCTGAGAGAATACAGTTGCTCCTCTCAATTGATCTATCAAGTCATTTATCCTAGGAAGAGGGTATTTATTCTTTATAGTAAACTTATTTAATTGACGATAGTCAACACAGCCTAAAACCTCCATCTTTCTTTTTAACTAAAGAAATAGGAGCCCCCAGGGTGGTACACTAGGGCGTATGAATTGTTTTTCAAGTAACTCTTCCAATTGTTTCTTTAGATCACTTAATTCAGAAGGTGATATCTGTTAGAAAAGAATGGCACAATCCAAGAGGGGGGGTGAATTGGATTCTATGACCCTTTAAAAATTTCAGAGTATTTTGGATCTTTATTTCACTTAAACTTTTCTAAGACTGAATTTTCAAATGAAGCTTCTTTAAAGACTTGTTATAGAAGAATGAATTCTATATGCTTTCTTGATTACAAAAATAATGAGGTTCAAATGTAATGCTTTAATTCAGTTTAAACCACCAATATTCACACACACATGCTAATCAAGAATCATCTTCTTTAATGTACAATCAAGATATTACTCAAAGTAAAAGATAAAGGTAGAAGAAGATTGCACAAGTCTTTTATCCTGGTTCAGCCACTCCACATGTGACCTACATCCAGTCCTCAATCAGAACCTGATCAAGATTTGTTCCACTATCTTAATGAAGAAGGTTTACAAGCATACCACACATGCATATACTTCAACACTCAAGATAATCACTTTCTTGACCCCAAGAAAGCACCCCTTGTAGAAACCCACTACAAGAATCCTTACCACTTGAGAAACCCT